TTAACCTATGAAAAAAAATCATACAAAATGCATTATTAAAGCATTTTGTATGATTTTTTTTCTTTTTTATATTTTAAAGGAAAAAAATGTATAGGTCTAATGGTTTCCAGCATAAATAATAAAAATATATATAATTATGTTAGTTAAAAATACTTTTACGACTTAATGTCCTGTTATGTAATCCTTACAGATCTAATCTAAATAACAATAAGTAAATTAAGTGCCAAAATTTTCTGTAATTCAAGAAATCAATTACCCATTAGTCTAAATTTAAATTTTAAAAAGTAATAATAATTCCATGATTGTATACAATAATTCAGCGTTATTCGGGTTATTTATTTATTATTGGATCCATATTTTTATCATTGCGAGGCACAACAACTCTTGAAGAGACAATGCCTCCTTTTAAAATTGTTATGTTACTTTTATTAGCCTTCTGTTTAATATGGCTGGGTATGGGATTAGAGTAAGGAATAAGCTTGAGGTTGGAGGGCATAGTGACCCAGGGAGCGTGAAGGATGTTCGACAAAAGAGGGGTCCACTTTGTGAATTTCCCAGCGGTGGGGTCCTATTGTGGTATTCCCTCTGACTTGCCCTTGGCGAACCCCTCTGCATTTTCGAGTATCCATTTGTTGCCATTTTTTTTTCCTTATAAAAATTAGCTATTATATAATTGAATCGTTTATTTTCAAAAACCACCCAAATGATAAGAATAAATCAGAAAAAATATCGCATATATGTAGATCAAAAAGAAAGAAAAAAGCAATACACTTACTAGAATTTGTACACTACACCAATAAAGAATGGATTAATCAATTTGACTAGAATACTTTTTCTAAAAAAAAAAAAGAAAAATTTTTTTTTCTTCAAAAATCATGGTATTTTTATTTTATAATAATTTCATCTTAAAAAAATCTTATGGTGAATTATAAAGACCAAAATAAATATTAATAATTTTGAAAATCACAGGATACCGTTCACTATCTTGCTCTTACCTTTGACAGAAGGATGACATGACACTTGCCAAAATGAAACGGAATATCGTCTATAGATGACTTAAGCTATTTTACTCACTTTTTACTTTCCTACCTATACTATTTAAGAAAAGTATTGCGATGGGTTCAAATTTCCGATATGTGGTTTTCGACGGATCTATACGTTTCAGAGCCCATTGAGTCCGAAAAACACCTTTTTAGCCATTGGTCTGTCTGTCTGTTCCAATATTTTCTCGGGAACTACAGCACCGATTTTGTTGCTTCTTTTTTTATTATGTAGGGTTTTGACTACTGATGCCTGTGGCAGAAATTCGGTGCTCCATGCGCAATAGGTTGCACGCAATAAATGAAAAATGATTTTCTATAGACTGTAGTGCGAAAACGGCTTTAACGATTTTGATGAAACTTTCCTATAATGTTCTAATAATTATCCTCTCAATTTTTGTATATAGACTAAATTCCCGAGAAAATTCCGGATAAAAAGTTATAAAGAAAAGAAAAATGTTTTGGGCCCTCACTCGCTAAGTGCATATTATACAGTAAAATTTATAATAAAACTTTTGAAATGTAATTAAATTACCAACAAAACAAAAAAAAACTTATCGGAATCGAACCACTATTAACGATGATACAGCTTATTCTATTTTTACACATGTTTTAATTCATTACTTTTCTATCTATACTAGGTAAGGAAAGTATTGCAATCGGGTCATTTTCCGATATGCGGTTTTCGACCTTTCAGAGCCCACCGAGTCCGAAAAACACATTTTTAGCCATTGGTCTTTCTGTCTGTGCCAAGCTTTTCTCGGGAACTACTGAACAGATTTTGTTGCTTGATTTTTTTTTTTTTTTCAGGAAAATAAATCTAATTCAATTTGTTTTTGTTTCTTCATGAACATATGTAAAGATATAAAAAAGGTAGGAAAGGTAGGAAAGTCGTGTGAGTGGACACACTAGATTATTTTTTCTCCAAATCTTACCAAAACTAGAACTGAGCTAAAACTAAATGCATACATGTACTTTGTTTAATTAATTAGGATATACTACTAAACAATATATGGTATAGCTCAAAAGACCCATTCATAAAAATTTCAATAAAAAATATTACGACTCATAACTAAAGCTCTGGTAGGTGACTAAAAAAACCTTACATACTCTCTTCGAGCTGCGAACAAATGACCTAGAGATGGTGGTTGTTTACCATCGATTTAATACTAATTTGCACATGATATTGATATGGGAACTTACTAAGCTTCAGCTATCATGCCCATCAGTATGAGGAAGAGGCTAAAAATGCTTTGGAGGAGAGACATTCTTCCTTAACAAACCAACCATAACAATTGAATCAAGCCCATGGCTATCCTCATACATGTTAATTTTATTAATTTCCACGAACAATCTGCTGATGGTCTAGAGTTCGTTGATCAATATTTGAAGTTAAAAAAAATTTGGTTAAAAGATCAAATTATAGCAAGTGTATTTTTTTTTTTATTTAGATCTATTTAACGATTGCTTTATAAACTCCCAACTGATGATATATTAATGGTATACCTCCGCTGGTCATTAATACCATTGACGCGGCTGAGAGAGAGGCGCTTTTCTCTGATCTCTTCCAGTCCTGCTTTTCCTATCACATCTGGGAGTAATGGGTATGCTCGGTGCTCCCCAGAATGAATGTTTTTAAATATCAGTATGCTTGTATTTAATCAGTTATTGTGATTAGTTTATGTTTCTTTTTTGTTTATACATGTATATATTTATTTTTAGTATTTTTATTATTATTCTGTTATTTTATTAATTTTGTAATAAAATAAAACAAAATTAATGATATACTGATGAATCGTGGAGAAAAAAAAGAAAAACGAAATCCTTGTGTGTAATAACCTCAACAAGTGACTGGCAAAATAACTTTAAAATGAGTTGCAGAAAGTTAAGGGATAAATTAAAATATAATAAAGCAATTTATAAGGTATTAAAGAAAAGCAGGATGTCCAAAAACAACCAGCTAAACATTTATGGACAGCTTTCTAAAAATATTTCTGTTTTTATCGTATCTGCAAACGATTTTAAAATGCATAATTCATTCCATTCTCTTCAAAAGCGCGGAGAGGGGAAGTATATTTGTGTGTATATGTTGTTTTCACATATGAAATCCAATGAATATTTATGTATTGATGTGAAGGTGGTTTAAATAGATGGATACTATTATTTTAAAGTATTTTTTTAATTAATAACAAAATTAAGTATGCATAATTAATAAAATATATTTGTAATGTTGCCAACATTGTATATAACAGACAATCATACCATAGATGTAGGAAGAGTGGATTGCGTCGATCATATTTTGAAGAGTTTAACACCATATATGGATGGCTATATTTATTTATTGAGAATTATAATGGTGTTATGCCAAATACTTGTAGTCTGTTTTTTACAGGGTTTTTCAGCCCGTAATGGACAAACTGCAGATAGGGGACAAAATTTCCAATAAAAAAGTCCATTTGATGCATGGAACGATTCCGAATGAAAAAGAAGTTAATACTAAAAAAATGTTCAAGATAATAAAAATCTAAGTACACCATCGTAAAGTAGACAACACATTTTTGGAAAAAGTAGTGATTAAATCTACTAAGGTCAATGATAAAAAAGGGACTTTCAAGAGATCTAATACGGCCGCTGTACAGAGATATGATGCTCGTGTATGTTTTCTGTGACAGCGGCCGTATTAGACCTAATGGAACATCCCTTTTATCATTCACCTGAGTAAAGAAAATCAATAATTTCTCAACAAAAAAAAATTGTCTATTTTACGATGGTGTACGTAGAATTTTACTATCTTGAACAGTTTTTCAGCAATTCCTTCTTATTCAATAATAAACGTGGTCTAACAAAATAAATTTTTTTGCTTGATTTTCCTATAGGAATCGGTCTATGCATCAACGAACGTTTTTGCCGGATATTTGGTCTAAAATCTAGGGAACTCGGAACCATGCTTTGCCGCTCTCAATTTCATTATTTCATCATTACTAATAATATAGAAGCATTTTATTAAAATTCAGTACATCCCCTTTCAGAAAATTATTTTAAAAAATATTATCGTGTCATCTCTTATGGATAAGTTAATATTTTATCGAATATAACATCTATTGATAACATAATAATGTTAACTATAATATAGTGATAACATCTATTTGGAAAAGAAAAAATTTGAATTTTCAAGTCAACTGAAAATTTTTAATCTCTCACATTGTTTATTCTTGAGGTAAATTGATATATTAACCTTTGATATTTTCTCTATTGGACAAAAATAAAAATAAATATTATTAATAATATATAAACAATAAAAGGCATAGTGAACCCGAAGATTTGATGCCGACATAATAAATATTGATAAAATAAAAAATAAATAATAATAATATAAAAATATTTTTATAATAAACGAATATTTTCAGTTTATTTCAAAATTGAATTTTTTCTCTTTCAAATAGTTGATATGAATCAAATAGTCACGAATCCGTCATTATGACTATTACATAGTTTTTTTTTCATAACAGTGACGGTCTTGATTATTCATCTGTTTATCCAATTATGTAGAATAACCTATTAACTACATTAAGGGTTTTATGATGAAACCCGCAGTCAGATGAAGGCAAAATCATCCTCGGATTCCAGTGTGGCTAGTATGAGTTGACTAAAATCATGTACCAGTACAATGAAGAAATTTATTAAACGAATATATGCCAATTAAAAATAATCTATGATGAATAATACGCACTTTATCATGGTTTCCCAGACATCTAATTTATAAACAAGATTTATGAATAACTATGTTGATTATAATTTATATATAGAGTAATATACTTTCTACTGTCTAAGTAAGGAAGAATATTCTTATAGGAAGAATTGTTGGTTGTTAAATGTGCAATCCCTTAAATGTTTTCATTTAGACCAGCTTGAAATTTCTTTAAGACTTTAACACTTAGATGGATATGAAACCTGTTGCAGGTAGCGTGGGTTCGAGTGGACACCCAGACCATCCTTTCTATCCACCACCACGTGATCACCCAGAACCCCAGGGTATCCCTCTCCTACAACGACCACAGGTCGTGGTACCTCCACATAAGCAACGTCCAGGAGATCGACAGGGGTTGGTACATGTGCCAAGTCAACACTGATCCCATGCGGAGTAGGGCGGGCTATCTACAAGTTGTTGGTAAGTTTTGTTAACATATTTTCTAGCATATAAATAACATTTATTACACCACCCTCGCCACTCGTATTGTAATAAGGCAATGTATGGAGTGAATAAATATGCGTGTATTTATATTTAATTTCTATTGCACTTAGACGCCACATATATGTTATCCAACTGTCAGAGCAAAATCGGATCAGAGCAAACCCGTATAGCAAATTCAAGAGATTAACTGGGGGATAAATAAAAAAAATAAAAATTAATCTTTGGAAATGTGGAGGCTGACTTTATATCATGATACAATTATGGTGCAGCATATTTGATTGTAGATTTTATTTTATTTTTCGACTCTTCTTGTCACTTCTTTGTCTATAATGACAGCGTTGCTAACGGCAGTATTAAAATATGGAAAACCGTCTACAACCTCTAAATCCTCATCATTACAAAACAAATGCACATCTTCCTTTTTCCTATAAATTTATCTACCTAACCATTCAATAGAACAACTCTTGCATCCTTGACTAACAGGTGAAATAGAAAAAAAATGAGGGATTAAATGCTACTATTCTTATCCATCCTTTACACGTCATTATTTTCTAAAATGGTCAAACCATCCGCTCATTACAGTATATTCGCTCATAAGTATATGCTTAACTTTAATCTGATTATGAACTAAATGCAACAAGCATGATGAAATAAAATGGCTTACTAGCCGAAACATAGCTGATGTAGCCTCAAATAAATATGGAGAAAAAATAATAAAACACAGCTTTATTTTATAGAATTATAAATATTTTACCTAAAACAAATAAGCAAATAATTAATTCAATTTTATTTTCTGAATGATTGCCATTTGCAGGACAGCTGATAAAATTCATCCATTATATTTACCTCTATTATATAAAGAAAGTTTTTAGTGGCTTTCATATATTTTTTTTTTTAGTATTAGGGGATTACTAGATAGTACAGGAGCTCTCCTATTGGTTCTATAATTAGCAATAATTATGCAGATATTTATTAATTATATATGTGTTGAGCTCATATAACCTCCTACTCTTCTAATACGTAATAAAGATTTTATACTAAAAATTTGTACGGAAACTAGTACTTATCTGGAGGTGGTAGTTCGATTTTATCTAAGTGGCAGCAGTTATTTTTCTATCTAGACATTTTCCTAGGAATAAAATATCAATATATTAAATTGTGATATAATTATAATTATTTTGAAATGGAAGATATTAGAAATAAAAGGCTCAAATTGATATTGGGCTTATATGAAGCTGAACAAGTTGAATATACATTATGGTTATAAGTAGGCGAAAGAATATTTATAATTATGTAATTATATAAATTGGGAATAAAGTGCGATGTATAAAGAAATTAAAAATTTTCCGAACTGTGGTTTCGTTCAGCTTATTTTATGTATATAAAAAATAATACAATCTGAACTATAGAATACATGTAAATTAGCATTATACAATTTGAGCAACGAGTAGTACAATTTTTTCATTTAATTCGTAAAATTAGTAAACTGTGGGTTGGTCCGTTGTTAGTTGTACAGGAGGTATCTCCTAGTATATTTATAAAAAAATATATATACTAATAAAATATATAAAATAAAAAATATATATATTGGTTATTTGATAATATATTTTCCTACCAATCAGTTATTTCTAAAATAGCCTAGCCGGTGTCCAGACTCTCATACGTCCCTCCCGCCCACACGCTTGAATGCTATATTTATCCTCGGGAACTCGAAGATACAGAGAACATATTTAGTGAGACGTAGAGCCTCCCTTACAATAACTTCCAATACAATAGCCACAGAAGGACTGTGGGAAAAGCCTCTGTTTATACAGACCCGCCAGACCAGGGTCTTTATCTGTTCTAATAAATAGGAGCTCACTATCTGGGGTCTACCACACCTCGCGTAGTTCACAAAGTCCCTTATCTTCCCTTCCTTGCTCCTCCTTACCTTCTTAGATCTTAAAGATAGATATCGGTGTGCGTCATGGAGGAATGGGTGTTTGTTCTGTAGAGCAAAGCTTGTATGTTGATAAGCCTATATTTTTTCTTTCCCTTTCTTACCTCGTACTGACATTTCTACTTTGGGCTTTGTCACACGCGATTATCTTATATAATAAACATAACATTATTATAAATAAAATACGTTAAATTTAAAATTGAGATTGATTTTTAGTAGTATTTGATAAAAAATTAATAGACTTTTGAACTGTATCAAAATGCCAGGAAAGGGGTGGAGTGATTTAAAAAAAAAGAAGAATTTAGCTTAGTTTAAACTAAATAACCATTTAGTCATCGCTTCTTATTATTCAATGAAAAGCATGACTTGCTTAAATAAAGCAACACAAATCTTGGATTAGACCATCGTTTACATGAACTTTTTTTAGATTTTGAGGTCTGCTATCACTTATATAAAAATTTATCCATACTTATAGGACATCCTCCATCCATATATATATGTATATAAACAAAAAGAAACTTTAACTAATCAAAATAATAACTTAAATACAGGCTTACTTATATACAATATTAACAAACATTCATTGATTGATGTTTGGAACTCCGCGCCAAATCTTTCCTCCAGATGTGAAAGACAAACGAAAATGAAGAAGATCCCAGCGCCTTTCTCTTAGCCGTTTCACTGGTGTTAATGACCATTAAAGGCACAAAATAATACTAAGTTTTACATTAATGAATATATTAAAAAAATAAGAACATGCAAATGAAACATATGTTTTTAAAGTATTTTAGAAGAGTTCGTACGTTGTAATGAAGTAAGCTTATTATTTTACATTATCCTTTTTCTACATCTCCAGCATTTTAATTTTTTTGTTTATAGAAACAGAAAACATCAAAATTTAAATTTACTCTAGGAAAATGTCGGACGTTAATCCCTTTTAATAAGAAAGTCATCTTAAAGGTTTCAAAGAAAATTAACGGAGGTTACTAGTTCCTTGGAACTGTGTTTATTTTCTGAGTTTTTAAATAATTCATAATGAATCTATCAAGTTTTCTCCTGATCGGGATTTCTAATCTATTAAACCAATTGAACATACAAGAAAAACCGGTATAATTGGAATAAAATAATTACTCACCAAGAAAAAAACCTATTGAATAATTAATGTCTTGAGATTTTACAGGATAAAATGATGTAGGAATGTATTGCCTCTAAATATAAATAATATTATTATTCAAGAAATAAGTAAAATTATTCTTAATAATATAATTTTATACACAGGCTAGAACTATTTGGAAATGTATAGGTTAATCCACCAATCCGGAACTAAGTGGAATAAAAAAGGAGGTTAAATCAAACTATCCATTGAGAAATTTATAATGATACACTTTCTAATATTATTTCATACTTAATGAGAAATAATTTATAAAAGGGGTTGAAACTTTTATGGAACATTTTTTAAAATGTTGTTAGTACTGGGGTAGAAAAAATATATAAAAATATATCAGATACATATAGAATGTGAACAAATTGAACCAACCGACGAAGTATTGTGGGAGTATTTTTTTTTTAAGTAGAAAAGTTGATATTCGTTTTTTGTACCTTGAGAACCTATTAAATACGATTTTTTTTTTTATGTCAATCGAATAATTTTTATTTTTTTTTCATTATACTTTAGCTTTGGCTTGGATCCTTCAACATTTTATTAACAACCACAAAAATTATTATAACTTTGAGACAACTCTACTTATTCACACTAAAAATACTTGGGGCTCTCTCTATGTGCTATACTGGCACATATAATGGCATAAACCCGAACTTAAGAAATAAAGCAATCAACATATTGTCTGAGAAGTTTTTCATAATTTCTAGTATTTCTAAAAAGGAAAGGAAAGGAATTGATGCTGCAGAGTGAAAATTCATCAAACTATATGCTGATTTAATTTAATAAAATTTTAATTATTGAATTTTTTAAATAAACGGACGATATGTATATTAGGTTGTGGGTATTTTTTTATCTATCTGCTTACTAAACTACAGTACCCATCTGCTTTACCAAATTGGATTTTTTTATTATTGAAATTTACAATACAACAATTAAATATGAAATAAGTAACATGGCAGTTTAAGAATAAGTGGAAGCAAAGTTGGAAACAAGAGTGTTCAGAGGTACCTGGGTAAGGACAGGTATCTGGATTGAGCTAAATCGGAAACATATGGTACATTAAGGCCGTTATGGATGATTTTATTTGTGACATAGTAGAGAACATTGAGGATTCTACGAAGGATTTTCGATTGTAAAGATTGGGTACTAGAGGAATTTGATAGTTTAGTAGAGCCCCAAAGCTCGATCCCGTAAGTCTAAATAGGCCTTATTTTAGTGATATATATGAGTCTTTTGTAAATAATTGGAAGTTTAGAGAGTTTGTAGAGTAAGTGCTGCAGTAGTCGAAAACGTCGGGCGGTTTCTAGTCGTTTTAGTCTGGTATTAAGGTTTCCAAGTGAGTCGTTAATCAAGGTGGAGTCCTAAGTATCGGATTTGTTCAACAGGGTTAAGTGGGGTATTGCTAAAGGATACTGTAGGACAGGAAGTCATAGGTTTACGTTAAAGAGTAAAGGTAGGATTTTTTTAATTTAAATTTTATTTTGTTTCCTAGCTTGGAAGAGCTTGCACTAATTTAAATTTATAACATGACAGTGCCTGTTCTATTAAGACCCAAAACCCTATATGACCCGCGTTATATTATCTTAATGAAACACTAAAAAATTAAATAATATAGCTCCCGAGATCCGGTTCTTTTCCAAGACAAAGCTGTTTTATGCATGGCTTCATTACACAGGCTCCACGGTATGGCCCAGCCCAGAAATTTTAATGTTTCACCTGACGTGATTATGCCCCCTACATTGTGTACAGAGACTAATTGGGTACGTAGCCAAGCATGGGTAAATATTTCATTGTGCTTTATCTAATGCGTGGGGTCCGATGTCGGTACATCCCGAGGATTAACGAATTTTCCGTAATCTGTAGAAGCCCGGAAAT